TGATAATGGGGATATTTCAGTGTTTGGGTTTTCATGATCCAAGCAATGTTTCCAGTACAGTATTTTGAAATCCAGATGTGTCTCTTAAACTTCAAGCTATGTAGAGAGTACACATTATGTTCCGTTCTCATATTAATCTATTAAAAATGTCGTTTTTGTTTTATTTCTTAAGGGTACACATTTATGAAAATTAGTCCTTTAGGCAACAATGCTTTAACTGGTAATGACTACTGAAAATATGAAAATTCTTACACGTAATTATGGCATTGACGTAAACAAAATCCAACGATTCACTTTCTCCCAATCCAACTACGTACACGTTGTAGCTTGTTTTTCATGTAGTTGCTGACAGGCTAGTCGGAACAAGAATAGTGCATGTTGGCTGTGTTCGGACACACATAGGTGTAGTGCAGGTTGAGTTCCTTGGTTAATTATTTCTGTGGACGCCAACTAATTTCCGAGCCTGTCATAAGTTGAATCGCTGCGTGTAACGTTGGCGTCACATGGTTACTAACGGTTCAAATAACACTGACTCCACCAGCCGTTGTTTAGAAAAGAAACACGCTCAGGTCGAGTTTCGTTTAACGTTTAACATGTTCTGTTTATCAGTTTTTCTTTAAATTAACAGAGCATCCATTAGACCTATGTTTGTCGTTTCTGTAAGCTCCCAGGATTTGTTTTGCCGTTTTATAGAGACATAGAACTGATCTGTATTTTGCTCTTGGTCCTTGTAAAAGATGCGGATGACTAGTTGAGACGACAAAAGTCAAAATGGTCACTGTAACGAGTGCTCATTCAACTAAGATACCCTAAATCATAAATCTAGAGGTAGTCTTCATCGTCCATTATTACAAAACAAAATATAACCTTGTGACTACATTTTAAATATATTTCTTATCTTTCTCATGCCCAGTACACGTTCCACCAATCTTGTGCTCAATGATTTGATCACTCTAAAGGTAAGCCGATTTAATGAACAACTTATTAAGCTTCTCGTTATCCCGATACTGATTATATCAGTTCCAAGTGATTTGTTTTTTATGATCGTATTTAATGTGTTTTGTACGTTTGTAGACTCTCATATAAATTAACAAGAAGTTCATGAATGTATAGTACAAGTGATAAGTTTGCGTTATTATGGAATTTTTGTGGTGTCTTATTACATAATTATTCTACAGATTTATCAGCAACGCAGATCATCACATGATACCTGGCCTGTCATTGCAATGTATTACGTACACATTTTTACATTTAAATAAATGCAATCAAATTAGCTTTGGTTTACTCAGCAATATTTATTTTCAGCATAAATTCGATAAATACCATACACTTTATAATTTATATTATATTATCAGTCACCTTCGTTCATAACTGCGATGCATGGAATAGGATGTTTTATAACTTCTCGGATCTGTAGGAAGGAAGTACGGGTAACTTATAACGCTACGTGTATAATAAGACGAGGCGAACGTGTCATAATTAGTTTTTATTTTGTATTTCTGTGTTTGTAATTGCTGTCATAAATTACGTGACCTTTGAAGACAATAAACAGTACATGTATCATTGAGGTGTATGCTTGCATGTTTTGTGGAAATCTTTGCATCAGATATGAAGGCAAAAGGCCGTCTAACAGATTGAACCTGAAGCATTCTAATAAGTTACGCTCTGTGGATTTTCATTGGTGGTTTGCTTATTATTATTTTTTTCTTCATATTGCGAACTATTAGTTTGCCCTTTTTCCCTCCACTTTTAATTTGTAACTCTTCATAATCTTGTTCTCCGTCTTGAAAACTAGGAAAAAGTTTTAAAAGCTCTCCCAGTCATTTTATATTTTGGGGGTCCCTATGGATTAAATAATTTTTCCCCAATTACTGCTGCTCCGTGATGTAGTTTGTCCATTGTAAACGTCAATCAGTTGTTACACTGATTTTTAAATATTCAGTTAACTCTTACATTGCTGGGACAGGTCGTATCTTCAAATCGTGTCTCCGGCTGAGCATCAAACAATATTCCAGAAACTCGCTTTTCTACAATAAATAAGCATATGTAAATAATAATATAAATCTCAACTTCGGTTCTCGTTTGTTATTTCCATCGTTTATTTTGTTTTCCTGTCTTCTCTTACGCCCTTTGAAGAGCACATAACGGCTGATGTATTCGGGAAGCAGAGAAGCAAATTTACAACCGGCGAAAGCGGGCATTAATCCTGCGCATTATCCAGTAACACAGTATAGCTTGGGATGTATAGGCTACTGACCCTTACAAAAACATGTGTTCCTACCTGATAAAAGTCGAAAACATCCAATGTGATCAGGAAATTGTAAAGTAAAGCATTTATTTTTTATGATACATCGAACTCTTTACTTCTTTTGCAACGTTAAACTGGTGCTCATTTATGATTATCAAATGGTATTTTTGCTACAGTATTCCTCTTTCCAAATACAGAAATCCATTCCAAGATGCTAAATTCAAAAGAATATTTATGAGGTTATGGTTTAAAAATATCATTGTGTGGGGGCCCACCCAGCCTCCTCTACAATGGATACCGCGGTCCTTTCCCGGGGGTAAAGCCGGCCGGGGCGTGATGCTGACCACTCACCCCCATCTAGTGCCGAGGTCAAGGAATAGAGGAGCTATACCTCCACTCACCCCAAACGCCTACATGGCGTATAGTGGGACAAACTTTACTTTTAGGTTACTGAGTTTTCCACTGTAGATTATAAAAACTGTTAACACTAATTGTTAGAAAGTGACATTAATTAAATAACAAATTTAACTAGCGTGGAAACTATTTTAATATTTAGGCTCCTCTGAATATTTCCATGTCACATATTACCACTGCACAAAAAAGGAGTGTTTGCATGTTTCCACTCGACCGAAGCCGAAACAGTTCGTACAGTCGTAGTGTTGATGTAGACCAATTTAAGTACCTAATTGCCTTATTCTTAATCACTTACGTAATTCACAAGTAAAAAACTTTGCGTCTCAGATTTACCTTTCGAAGGAAGTCCTCCACAAGTATTTATATCCTAAGTGTATTTGGGGTCCCTTTCGTGGACATATAAAATTGTGGAAGTTTATAGAAGAACTGTGAAATATCCGTACTGTGACACGTAAATGAAACTACTTTTGCCTCAGTGACAAATTAATTCAATTCTGAAGTAATTTTACTCCATTGACATTGTTGAACATTACATATTAAAGTAACCCTCTTCTTCTCTCATAAAAAAGTAAATTAAATTGGAATTTTCATAAATCAGAGAAAGAAACTGACCTGTGTTTGTAATAGAGACAGTACATTACACAGTAACAATAATTGGAATGACATGCAAAAGTTAATCATTGTCTGTAGGAGCAAAGAGCTAACTCCATACCAGTGAAGCGGATATTGCATTGGGGGAGTTGATGCCCTAGTACACTGACAGATAGGGGCTGACAAACAGGACTGGCAAATTTTTAGTCAAACGAAACGTTTTCATATTGGAATCCAGTCCTCTTCTACGGTAGCTTAGTGTTTGGTAATACTGGCAGATTTAAGCCAGAGGGCTCTTCTACAGACTCAACCTACGTTGCGTGAATAATGCTGAATAATACAATGGATAGCTTTAGAGATTGTATCCTATTGTGTACGTAAGGTAACAAAAGTATTTAAATGGCCATCGACACAATTTTTTTTGTTTACCACACGTTTCGACCTAACCAATTTATCTTCAGGCGCAGAGACTTAGACGTGAATTGTCCGATAGATAGAATTGCATATACATGTAAATCTAAGTCCGCTAAGTGACGCTAAGATTCATGAATGGGTTTTGCAGTAATATTCATATACATATATATATTACAGTGGACGTAACGCAGACGTAACTTATTAAGAGCATTTCCGAATATTAGAATTGAATACTGTAACATTTCAGGCCGACGACCGAACAGTTTTAAGCGTTTTACGACACCTGGTTATGAAAAATTTAGTGTATCTCTTTTTATATCTTAGGGATAGACTATTTCAAACTTATTTGCAAAACGGAGTAATCCGTCAAACAAATGTGTTTTAAATTATTAAAATTACCAATCTCCGCATAATAAATGTAGGCTGTGTTTGAGTAACCTGTGATTTCGAAACACAAGTAATTTATAAAATGTAACTTGCAAAAATTTGAAAGTTATAAAATATGTCGATGTTGGTTCCTCGCTTGAAACTCCGTGCGAACTTAATTTTCAGTTCTGAAGGGCTGAAGGTGAAGTCAGTACGTTGCTCCAAAGGGTTTATATCTACCTGCAGCTCCACACAGTGTTACGTTCAACGCAGTTAGAGCTCAAACCTCATGTCAATGAGACGATCTGCCTTTTTAAAAATAAGTCTAACAAAATAATTCTGTTTAAATTTTAAGACCTTAGTAGCAATTTAAATCTTTTATGCAAGATTTAAATGCTTTTAAACTTCTGAGTTACAAATCACTAAAAAAAATTCCGTTGAAATTCAGCGGTAGATTTTACGCAGGTTTATTGTTGAAATATTTTACATCATAAAGCTTATTTAAGAAGGATTCATTTTTGTGAATAAAATTTAAACGCCGTGTAGTTAATTATTATTTTAAAATAGTATGCGGTAGCTAATTTCTAGAGTACTTGTAAGTTACCTGTACGTCAGTTTTGGGCTTTATTGGTGTGGTGTTCAGACGCGGAGACAGTAATTGTGTTCTTCATATTCGCATACTATATAGGCATACCTCATTTCATTGCGCTTCGCAGATATTGCGTTTTTTACAAATTGAAGGTTTGTGGCAACCCTGCGTCGAGCAAGTCTATCGGCGCCATTTTTCCAACAGCATGTGCCCACTTCGTGTCTCTGTGTCACATTTTGGTAAATTCTCGCATTGTTTTTTTATACATAATGCTATTGCACACTTAATAGACTACAGTATAGTGTAAACATAACTTTTATATGCACTGGGAAACCAAAAAAATTCGTATGACTCGCTTTATTGCCGCGGTCTGGAACCGGACCCGCAATATCTCCGAGGTATGCCTGTGTATGTTATAGTTGTCTGTTTCCGATATCAGGTAACTTAAAAATATGTCTGATATTTTGGAACGCCATGTTGCTTCATGGAGAACCAGTCAAAAGCTTCAGTGTTCCTCCCCTCCAGCGGCAACCGTCATCATGTTTATCCCAATGTTAGGTATCATGGACCTTTTTTTTCCTCAACTACTCCCTTTGTATCCCATCGCCCCTCGTGACTGGTTGGACGGCACTGTGTCCTGCATCCCCCTCCCAGACTTTTGTAGGACATTATACAACCCTCTCAAAGTTACGCCGTACCCTCCCAAATTACTCAGCTTTGGAATAAAATGTATAAATGTATCAGGCTCGTAGTTTGGAACGGTGTGCGTTGTGTTACAGAAGACTGAAGCAAAGTGAACGCGGGCTGCAGTGTTGCTAGTGTGTGGAACCAGAATACGTGTGTTCATATCTTTACATATCTGTGTTGATTTCCTTGCTGTTTTGTGTCTAGGAACCTTCCACGGATTTCTCAGAACTCAGATCTTTATTGCACTTATCGCAATTTGATGGATATCCTTCAATGGAAGTGCTTGTAATTGTTTACATCAACAAAAATACAACTGTATAGCTCTTAGTTCAGCTGTATCATTATGGACTTAAGAATACGACAACAAACCGCAGATAGGTTTAAAATATAACGTGGTAGCTTGCTAATACAGAATATCCAGTTATTCAGATTACGTATTTGATGGGATAACATCGTACAGAAGACAGCATTTTGCATGTAACAACAGGTTGTGTTTTATTTGAGGTCGAAGAAAGTGTTCCCAACATCGGGTATCTAACTGGACGAAGAAAATGTTGTAATATCTGATACACTGCACACCGATATGCTGATACCAAGAGTATGGATCAGGGAAATCATCATAACAACATGTTAAAAGTAAGTTTAATACCCAAACGTCTTTTAAAATAATGAATTTGAAACGGATCCTCCATAAAGTTTATGCTAATAAGTCACATTATGATGGAATGCAGTGGAACGAATATTTTAATATTAGACCATGTGTGAAACTTACCATGCAAAATGCCGAGAGGTACTTAGTCCGTAAGTTACATGCCTTTTAAGACGTGAGATTTGAAGTTTTTATTATGGTAAATATATCGATGTTGGATTGGTAATGCCGTGTGGGCTTGAAGCTACCTGCTGTTGATAGCAGCTCAAGTAGTAGTGGACTACGTAAAACATGCAACGCGTTATGTATATTTGTGCTTTAGTCATCGCCGACAGAAACCTTTCTTGTTACAAAGCGTAATATCGTCAAATCAAATCAATAGTGTCCAGATTCATTTCTGCCATGGCAAGACATACACAGATTTTGAGATCCTTGTTTGCCTCTACGGTTTGATGGATATTGTCCGCTTCAGCCACACTCCTTAGCTGCGTTTTTGGCTACGGCCTGGTCAATGAAACGGAACAGCAACGCAGGTAGGCCTATTCCACCGACGTCTTTGTATTCGCTGCGTTGTTACAAATTCAAACTTTTGCTGTGCTTACAACGGAGTAATGCTCCTTTCTGAGCAGAGCGTACTCATAAATTCTTATTTAACGAGTATCAAGACCAAAGACAGAAATCGTCTCCTTTCAGTTGAAGATGAAATCCGTGTGTGTTTATCTAAAGTTCGACCCCGAATTAAGTATTTGTGTACCAAAAGACAAGCACAGGTTACATATTAGAAAAGTAAATTTTATTATTTAAATTGGCTTCAAAAATAACATTTCCTTGACACATATATTTGTTCATATGACATTTTACTTTGATTTATCTTATGCCTTTTTAACATTATCAATAAACGATTTAGTTAATGTAGTAGTTATTATCTGTTTTCGTTCTGTTTATATGTCTTATATACGATATTGGTTATTTATGTTTATTGATTGTGTGAATGGAAACCTCCGTATGAGGTCTCTTGAACAGGCAGTTTGATTTCAGTTTTTTTGGATTGTCAATAAACTTGAGAAAAACGTAATTTTTTGCGTAAACCAGCTATCAGAAAAAAATATATTAAGTTTTCCTTATGAACTTTAAGTTTATAAAAAAGAAAGAAAGATATCAATAATAATATATAATAATTTTTATGTAGGGGTTCCCTGAGACTTGAATATTATTTCAAGGGTTCCGCAAGGGCAAAAAGGTTGAGACACGCTGGTATAAGTGAACAAGTTTCACGCTTCAGACCGTGCAGCCATAAAACAAATTAAAATTTTGAAATTTACCGTTTTTCGGAGATGCTTCTCACCCCTTCAGGTAAGAATTTATCTGCTATGTGAACCCAGTTATATAAAGCTAGTCGTCATCACAGAACAGAGTAAAAATATTGAAGGATAATAGGCTATATTGTATGAGACGAACCCCCATATGAGCGTTCTTCAGAAGAGGAATTAACACAATAATATATGGATTCAATTTACAAATAAGAGATTTTTAACAAAGGGTTTACCGTACTATAATGCTGAAGCTGTTTGACTGTAATCGGTGACGAGGACTCGTTTTATCTGACGAGCCTCACAGAGGAGATAGATTGTTTCCTGGAGAAGGAAACAGAACCAGTCCCCGAAACGTAGAACATTATGGAATGTTGATTCTTAATGTTTGAATAAGAGACGATGGATAATGTTTTGCCAGAAAATCGTAATGAGGTTTAATACAGTGAAAATAGATCTGAATATCATAAACAAAGACACCTTGTCCCTGAGTCCTAATTGAATGGGTCTGTTGAACTGTTTGAGGCGAAAAGTAATTAGTTTGCTATATAGGATAAAGAAAAGAACAAATTTCATGGGGCAGAGTCCTCCTTGGCGATCTCAGAGCTGGTCAAATTTCCTGTCTTTCAAGAGACCTGAAGATTACTAGGCATTACTAAGTCCGCCACCAGTCCCTATTTTGAGCTGGATGAGTCCAGTCAACACCCTTGTGCAACAGTGTTCTTCTTAACAGACAGCCCTTGTTTGCAGTTTATAGACTACTCCAGCATTACGTTGTGTTTCCTGATAACTCCCCTTTGTGTGTTTCTCGATGCACCTTCTTCAAGCACAACAGCACCTATAAAATAGAAATCTCATTATTTATTTCTTCCCTCCATATTTCTTCTCTCGTGATAGTGTTTTCCCCCTTCCTATTTTATTATAACTTTGTATACTCCATATAATACACACCATCTTCGCCACATGCACCCCCGCCCGCAGGAAAAAGAATGTAATAGATTTCACTCCCTCTTACGTGGCTTTCCTTTATTCTTGCGTATGTTGTGACTTAGGCCTATCCCTGTTCACACATCGTAATGTCTTATGGGGATTAAATTTAATTTTTCAGTGTTATTAAATAACTCACCTTGATATTCGATTACATTGGTGACTTATAACATGACCTGTAATAAATTACATATAATGTACTGGTGTTTCGTATATCATTTCTAGACTTAGATGTAGTTCGTTTAAATTAACTTTTCCATTACCTTGATTTATTGTGTATGTCAATGGAGCATTAGTTAGGGTGGTTTTTATTGTTTCTTTAATCTGTGCATTAAGCTTTTCGTAAATTTTCTGTCAATTCTAAATTAAGGGAACAGAGGTGTTGGGAATATAGTCTTATCAGTTGGCTAAAATATTCACCGTCGTATCTTCAACCCGAAGGTTCAGTACCGTGTCCCCAAGAGCCCGTCACTAGTTCCTATCACGAGCCATGTGAATCAACCCCACTCTCTAAAAATAATATAATAATTATAATTGTCGCCCCGAGTCAATATCTACTGTCTGTTATCTGTAAAACTTTGTTCAAAATGCTTGCTATATGTCTCGCCCATCTCATGCTAAATTGATGAATAGCACAATTTATGAAGTTACGTACTGTGCTATCTTCTCTCACCTCGTGTTTTTTCATTCTTAGGTCTAAAATAGAAGTTTCCTAAGCACTTCTCAAACAACCTCAGCCTGAGTTTATTCAACTTGGAGTGAGACAGCAGAGACACAAGTAATCGACTGAGCTACCTTAGTACAAAATTCTTGCCTTCTCACGCCCTTAATTTTCATCGTGTCAAAATCCACGTGCGTATTTCTTATACATTGCTTGTCGGGATTTAGAAAGAGGTACATCATTTTGCATGACTTCCCTATTTCTTATTGTGGACAAAATTACTTTTTCCAGACTTGAACTGTGTTTTCCAAACGCCCTTAATCCTAATTTCAGTATCCAAAATGGAATGAGCTAATGTTCCAACAACTTCATGACATCGCTCGGCCTCCATGTTTGACAGCCTGAGCTGGAAAATGAGAAACATGGCGTCCTTAATGACACAACTTCGTGCCAACTTAGATTATGGTCGATTCACCTGTACTGAAGTTACTTGAGGTGGCTGTTTGGAAGGACACACACACACACACCTGACCACCTCATAAGCCACCCTTTCTTTCAAAAATCAGGAGTGACCTTATATGTTACCAAATGACACCGATGTACAGCCTCATTTTGAAACATGGAGGCTTAATTTAACAGATATTTCTCTCCAGAAGTCTGGATTAAAATTTCCCTGACTTTACGGTATCTTATATTATATTGATTTCCGCTTTATCGAATGGGCTACCCAGCACCTTCTCTCTCCCCTCGAATTTAAGGGGCTTAGGGAATATCTCAAGAATAGGCCTATTTTTCTCGTTAATATTTTCTCTCTGAAGAAGGAAACATTATGCTTCACCGAAACGTTGGTTCCTGCTGTACGGGTCTACATGGAGCCAAAACCCAGAAAAGCATTGTCATAAATAAATTGAAAGATTTCCTATGAATTGCATTATAAATGAAAAACTCATGAAGGCCGAATTGAAAGTATGGTTCTCAGAGTTAGACTTATTCTCTGGTTTAGAAGTTGCGCCATACTGATTCAGTAGATATGCTTATACTGTATCGTTACTTCTAATTTCTCATAGGCTACCGGTTTGTCAGCTTCCGTGTGGAATGCCAGAAGAGAGCGATCATAGGAAACAGGCTAGGATGTTGACTAAACTTAATGGCCTGGAACAGGTTCCAGTGACAGATTTTCTGAGTTTGAGGTTGAAGTAGTTCGATGTCGACTTATTCTATCGACATTCTGGAGACATTACTCTGTTTCGTGAAATTTCATTTTTCCATAACTGGCAAATTAAACATGTTTTATTGACCCTGTAGGGATACTTAATAAGTATACTTCTGTTGCTGACACATGACACAATTCGAATATCTTTTAACATTTTATGTATGCTGGTGGCGAATGTATATTTGCTGATGTTGCTTATAAAAATTTCAACGAATTATTGTAATTAAAGGAACGTATTCAAACTAAGATGCTGTGGCGGAAGTGTAGATGAATGTCAACAAGGCACTCAGGAGATCCCGTCGGATAAAGGCTCTTTTGTGAATAATTTAATTTAATGTTTCTGTGATGTTAAATTCTGCTTAGCTGCTTTGTGTTTTTAATAACTAGCTACGCGTAGCGGAGTTATTCTTACGATGTTAATAATTACATTAGTTATTACTGTTGCTGGAATAAAAATTGACATTCTGCTAAAATTCTCGTAGCTTAATAGGCCAAATCATGACAAACAGACAGATAGATACACTTACACTTGGGGATTTACTCTCTGAAATAAATTGCTGCATCCGTTGTAATGAGCAATATTATGTATATGTAATTCATTGCATTTGAAAGATGCTTTGTACTTTTCTATATTATTTTTTTATCCATGCATTGACACGGTCTAAAATTAAAGAGAAATGTGTCCAAGATAAGACTACTACTATTTCCGATGACATTTTGGTTTGTGTTTTTCATAATCACGGGTACAAGCAAGTCCATGGATCAAACTTTTACAACACGTATTTAATGTGGTCTAAGCACGATTTGCGGTTTTCATGGCGGTGAGTAGAAATATGGCGACACATCGCCCTGATGATGGAGACAGCAGGGACGTTTGAAACATTGGCAAACCAGAAGAAAGTCATTTTCTTTTAATTTTATTTCAATTTTCTCTGGGTCTGAAATAGGCCGCTGTCAAAAAGAAGAATTTGTGACGGTTTAATTTATCTATAACAAATATAATTACATTTCTTGTAGTACTTTTATAGACGTAATTACATTATATATATTTGTATATATGTATGATGGCAGTACGTACCACAATTCATATTTTTACGGTAAACGATGAAATTCTTTATTTATAATGGCGTTCACATTTCTGTAACAACCTAGAAATAAATTAAATAACTGTATTTAGTTATATATAATAATTCTAGTTTACAGAACAAATGCAATGAGACCTTTACATGTATGTAATTCAGATAATGAAAAGTGCATAACTGTATTAAAATTATAGCATTCAAACCATAAAATTTGCTTCTCTATCCTAGAAATCAGAGCCGCGTATTCAACCCGGTTGTAACTGTAGCACACAAATGTGTCGACAAAATAGAACAAGGTTACACAGGCTTTTCTTACAAATGTATTAATTTTGTCCATTTAGGAAGAAATTGAAATTCAATAACAATCCAAATTGTTTCATGACTTAAAACACTTTTGCTCTGCTTTGTAACTCCATTCTACGAAGGTGGAAGTAAGGTTCAGTTATCTTGGTTACCCGAGATGCAGCCTCCCGGAGAATCCCCAGTATGAGAACAGAGAAGAAGCTGTCTCCCTCTATCTTTCTGGTAGTGGTTCAGATCGATAAGAATTTAATTTCACAAAACGCCATCGTTCTATTCAAGCAAGACACTCAGAGACCACCTCCTTGTACCCACTCTTATAGGAAAGATTCCAGTTTCTATGGGGAGCTACAGTATAAAGTGAGTGTGAAGCGAGGGGAGTGAAGCAACGTAACAATAATGGGATATTTTACACCGCCTTCCCCAATTTCACCCTCCACCCCCTCACCACATCCTCCTTTTACGAAATAACTACTTTTCTTTTTCTCGTTCTACAGACCGTGCGATGGATGTTCTTCCTGACAAAAACTTACGGGTGTTACTGAAATGCTTTGTTAATAAAACAATATTGGAATTAATAAAATGTGAAACATTTGATCTAGACACATCGTAATTATTGTTGAAACAAAATTGAACTTGCTAGTGGATTTATGTTTTGTTAAATTCTATTGTTGTGTTCGACAAGGGGGCAAATTTAGTACAAATAAGTTATATTTCATTAAAATTGCATAAAGCAGCCGTGAATACTGTTTCGTGCTAAGACGATAAACAGATTTGTAGAGAATAAACGGTTCGGACCTCCGGAATACAGTTAAAATGTTGTATTTAGTCAAATTTTATTTAAATATTCATCCTTCTTCTTCTAGTGCCTTGAACGTCATAACTTTAAGAAATCGGGCTAATCTATGCATCACTGTCGGTATTTTTTCTTGAAATCTGTCACTCTGTTATTACTTGAGGCTGTAATTGTAAACTTATTATTGTAAAATATAAAAGATTTGTTGTATTACGCCTTTAACATTTTATGTTCATATTTGCTTATTATAAAATTCAATGTAAAATTTGAGGTTTTCACAGCGGTGAGTATGAAGATTTCTGTCTTCTGGGTTGTTGCGCTGTGTAGTCTGGTAGATGTTTAACAGCGTTTCAGAGGTCATACTGCCTCCGTCATCATCGCCCTGATGACGGAGGCAGTATGACCTCTGAAACAGCGCAACAACCCAGAAGACAGAAATCTTTATAAAATTCAAGTTTATCATAAAACATACTGATAATTGAGTAGGCAAATCTACCCACCTGCATTTGTCTTAATTCTCAAATGTCATTACTAAAATTAGCATTCCTAGCTAGTCTACCTGCATTCTTTGTAGCCGAACTGAGACCTTTCCTTCTTGAAAAAAAAAATAAAGGAAGAACTCATTTTGGTTAAAAAAAAGTTGTCTGGGAAACAAAATCAAATTCAGCTGCATCAGGAGTTCTGTGTTCCGTGTGATAATGATTTGACAAAGCACGCTGAGCATTATTTTTTTGGATCAGTAAATTTTGAAATTCTGTATTTTCAGAATTGAATGTTTGTATTTGATATTGCCATGTCTGCATAAAATTACAAACCCTTATAAACACAGAATGGTTCCAGACGACATACCCTACCGTAAGCCGCGGTAGATCACTTAGCAGCTAACGTTGCTAACGTCAGGGACAGGGACTTTTCTTTGTGTCATCGCAATTAGACCTGTTGTGTTCCCTATTCAAGTTCCTGTACAATATGTACGTAGCGGTGTTTTCCCAGAATAAAGCGGCCAGAGTGTGGAGCTATTCACTCATCTTCATCGAGTGCTGAGGTTAAGAATATTTGAAGCTATACATTTTCATTGTGTAGTGCGTAGACACAGGGAAAATTTTACTACATTTTGGTTAGGTTGAGAAAATTAGCTTTATTGATACAACGCAAGACTGATTAGCATCAAAACTAAGATTTTATCAGTGGTGTGAACTATAATTTGAATACAGGAAGCAAATATTGATTTGGTTTCTTTAAGAATTTTATCCGAAATGCATTTTTTCTGACTTCCAATTAAAAGAGCCTGAAAAAATTGCATTATTACAGTGACGTATGCCACGGGCTTATCCACCATTCATCATTCACAGTTCTGGCGACGTTAGTAATGGCTCTAGAAACAGCGAGGAGAAAGAGGGAGATGAAGTGTGAAGTAAATGGACCAGATAGTCGTTTTCAGATGTAAAGAAGAGGGTTTTTACTAAGAGTGATGAATGACAATTGAGGTTCGGACACGCTCACACACAAAATAAAGAGGAAAGAAAAAGTAAAGCGAAATTGTAAGCAATCACACAAATCTTCATTCTATCTTTCTTCCTTTCATTATCTGTCCCACTATCACTCTACGTAGATCTTCACATCCGTCCCATCTGATACCCAACCCAACAAACTCTCTGTCACTTCAATAATACTCTTCTGCCCCTTTCTTCAAAAAGGAGATCCAATTTCTTTTTCTTTTCTACCATCTCCATCTTCATTCTTTTCTTCCTTTGTCACTCCTATATCTCGCGAAATACTAGATTATTGCCTTCTTCACTCGTATTTCAAACTCAGCATGGTTCTGTATATTTTAATTCCTATAATACCCGTATTTTTATACTAAGATTTAATGCATTCATGTTATCCATCAGATAAACCACATTTACAAATATATAACATGAAATATGCTATAAAAGTTTTTTAAAATTATTTCCCGGCATGTTTCGACGTTACTATCAT